GCCTCAGCCTCCCAAGTAGCTGGGACCAGGGGCGCCCGCCACAACGCCTGGCCATTTTTTGGTTGCAGCCATCATTGTTTGGCGGGCCGGGCTGGGGATTCGAACCCGCCACCTTAGGGGTATGTGGCTGGCGCCTTAGCCGTTTGAGCCACAGGCGCCGAGCCAGAATATTCTTTTTTTTTACTAATAGTTCTTCCTAAATTTTACTGATTTGACAGGTAAAAAGTATCTCATTTGTACTTCCGTAACTTACTAAGCCTGGTCATCTGATCATTTTTACTGATGTTTTGGATTACTCTATGAGCTAATAAACCATGCCCTTTGCCCATTATTCTCATGGCTTATCCATTTTTTGGTCGATTTTTAGGAGTTCTTTGCATATAATAAACAACTTTTCATTTGAAAAGATTTAAAATTTTGTCATCGCTCATGGTGCCCTTCGTACACAACAGAAATTTCAAATTATCCAATGTTCATTCTTTCTATACTTACTTAGAAGTTGTATTTTGAAATGTATTCCATATCCAAAGACTGTCAACATTTTTTTTTTTTGAGACAAGAGTGTTACTTTGTCATTGTAGGTAGAGTGCCGTGTTGTCATAGCTCACAGAAACCTCTAACTCTCAGGCTCAAACGATTCTCTTGCCTCAGTCTCCCAAATAGCTGGGAATACATCTGCCACAACACCCAGCAATTTTTAGAGATGAGGTTTTGCTCTGGCTCAGGCTGTTCTCGAACCTACGAGCTCAGGCAATCTACCCACCTTGGCTTCCCAGAATATTAGGATTACAGGCAGGAGCTACAGCGCCTGGCCCTTATTTTTTTATCCGTACATTCTTCTTCTCAGTAGTATATGCCAGAATTCTATTTTTAATTTGTCCCTATTTCCCAAAGCTTTTATTACCATAAATATATACATTCTAAATCGTGTTCCTCAACTTTGATAAACGTCCTCTGAAGCCAAACCAGTAATCTCTGGCTTATACTACTTATACTTCCAAAGTAGTAAATGTACACAATGCATAAAATACCACCTTTATGTGCAGAATATAAAAGTAAAACAAAATATTTAAATCACTTACTGTACATACTTGTCCCAGCTAAATACCCACCATTAAAACTATGGCAATTAATCACTGTGGAAAAGTTGAGTAAAGGGTAATTAATAGTGTAAACTACAGACTATTTCAGTGTTAGGCCTGCCTATACTCCTCTACAGAGTAAGAATCAGGTATTAACTAACTTAACCACTTCTGATCATAATGATTTTTTTCTCTATAAACAAAAACAATTTAATTACTTTATGTAACCTAAGGTATAGGTATAGGTATATGTAACCTTAGGTATCTTAGGTTACATAAAGTAATTAAATTTTTATGCTTTTCTCTTTTAAAACTGTAGGATAATTACAAGTAATTTTTCCTGCCCAAACTAAGTAAGAGTGAAGGAGTATTAAGTTGGCAGAAAAATTGGATTGGAAAGGGTTAAAAGGAAGCATTCTTTTAATTCCTTCCCTCAGAATCACATTCTTTCTATTCCATTATCAGTGTAACCACCAAAGGCTTCTACTGCAGAATTTTGAACATCTCATTTTTTTGCCTTTCTCTACTAGATTCTAAGCTTCTAAAGTAGCGGTTCTCAACCCATGGGTCAAGACTCACAGGAACTATAATTTTTTTTATTTTTTTGAGACAGAGCCTCAAGCTATCCCCCTGGGTAGAGTGCCATGGCATCACACTCACAGCAACCTCCAACTCCTGGGCTCAAGCGAGTCTCC